TCCCAGGCCCCTGGATTCAGAACTCAAGGCCACAAATCATAGGCATGAAGCACTTTCTTAAGACTCCGCCCTAACGTTGGATGGCTCCCCGTCGAATGCCTGCATGCTGCTTGAAAGGCACCACCCGCATCTCCACGACCACGGGCGTCAAGAGAGTTGCTCAGCTCCGGCACGGGCCGCGCTCTGCCTCTCCTGTGTGACTCTTAGAAGTGCCCCTTCACTGAATGTAGAATCATTGCCAAGTTTGTGAGAAGTGTCTATTCCCTGTCAACGTGGGATATCAGTCCAGCCTCACATTTCCCACTGGAGGTTGAGGCTCAGCGCGAACACCACCTTGGGCCATCTCAGCACCATCAGTGGATCAAAATGGGGCTGTTAATACACTCTAAAAGCCATAATCATAATGCTCAGAAGGACCTGGATAAGAACAGCGGGCCTGGCTACTGTCGTTGTACAAGGTTGTGTCTTGTACTGTTTGGAAATCTGCCCTGCCTCCTCCCTGCCCTCGCTTCTTGAATGAAATGCTTCTGAGGTTATTTATGAAAGGAGTGATCCTGGGGCAGGCAGGAGGCAGTGGGCTTTATGGCTCCTTGGAGTTACTATTGATCTTGACCTTCTCTTTGGCTACCTTTAGACAAAGAATATGCCAATACTTGGGGCTCTGAGTTTTATAGTCAATATTTATTTGTATCATCTCTTTGTCTAGGAATGTAAAAGTGACTCTAAACTAAGATGTGTAATAAAAATCAGATTTATTGTACCTCCAAAAAAAAAAAAAAAAGCTTTGTTGCTTTCTGACAAGATGTGTCAGGCTCATCCTATACATCCCCTGCCCTACTCCTGGAGTTAGCTGTTTCTCCTAGGAACTCCAAGCCCTTCTAATGGAGAATGATAGTGAGAAACCAAATCTGGACACTAAAGATATTCATTTATACAGGGCTGATGTTGCTTCCAGGGTCTGTTATAAGACAGAGCAAAGAAAGAGCTTTAGATTCCTAAAAAAAGAAGAAGAAAGAAAAAGGCAGTATGTATAGGTATAAATTTACAAGTCTACATTGATAGTAATACTTATAATTCAAATTCAAATTTATGGAATTTTATCTAATACCCTTGATTTTGTGCTTTTATGTCTTTTATACTATCTTACAATATAAATCTTACACTGCAAAACTCTTAGAAAATAGAAAATAGCTTCAAAATGCCAATGTTAATATCACTTCTAACAATAGGACATAACTAAAAATAAAGCTTAAGATTTATTTGAAGTTTTTTGTTGTTCTTTTCTTATTTTATGTTCTAATTTTGTGCTTAGAATAAATCACACTCAGCTTGTCTAGTAAATAAGCTATATGTTGTTATTGTTTAGCCACTAAATCATGTCCAACTCTTGGAGTCCTGTGGACTGCAGCCCGCCAGGCTCCTTCTGTCCATGGGATTTCCCAGGCAAGAATATTGGAGTGGGATGACATTTCCTGCTCCAGGGGATCTTCCTAACCCAGGGAAACAAACCCCCATCTCTTGCACTTCCTGCACTAGCAGGCAGATTCTTTACCACTGAGTCACCAGGGAAGGCCAAGTAGAGTAAATGTATACTAAATGAATGTTCGGAGTGCACTCAGGTGAATCTTGCTTCCTTCCTCGCTCTTCACCACATTCCCTCTCATCCCACGATAATCATTTTATTAGATTTTGATTTACGCTGCTGGTATTTCTTTTTACAAATGTTAACAAGTATGAATGTTTGTTTATAACACGACCTCTTTTAAGACAAACAGTAGAATATTATTTGTATTTTTCTGCATCTTGCTTTTTTCACTTAAGAGTGAATTCTGATGATCACACCACAAAACTACTAGAATTCTTTCTCATCTTTTTTATGGCTACATGTACTCCACTGTGTGGGTTTACCATATTTACTTAATCAGTCCTCTGGGAATGGAGATTCAGGTTGATTCCAATCTTTTTATTAAATAAGGTCACAATCAATTTTATATTTGTTTTGTGTCCGTCTAGTCAAAGCTATGGTTTTTCCAGTAGTCATGTATGGATGTGAGAGTTGGACTGTGAAGAAAGGTAAGCACCAAAGAATTGATGCTTTTGAACTGTGGTGTTGGTGAAGACTCTTGAGAGCCCCTTGGACTGCAAGGAGATCCAACCAGTCCATCCTAAAGGAGATCAGTCCTGGGTGTTCATTGGAAGGACTGATGCTGAAGCTGAAACTCCAATACTTTGGCCACATGATGTGAAGAACTGACTCATTTGAAGAGACCCTGATGCTGGGAAAGATTGAGGGCAGGAGGAGAAGGGGACGACAGAGGATGAGATGGTTGGATGGCATCACCGACTCAATGGACATTGGTTTGGGTGGACTCCGGGAGTTGGTGATGGACAGGGAGGCCTGGCATGCTGTGAATCATGGGGTCGCAAAGAGTCAGACACGACTGAGTGACTGAACTGCAACTGGAACTGTTATCTTTAGAGCAGATTGCTATAATTAGAACTGCCACATCCCAGGTCAGTGCATCTGTGATTTTGCTTGATGTTGTCAATTCCCCTCCATAGGGGCTGTGGTATTCCTTTCCTAAGAGTAGTGAAGAGGATATTGGTTCCCCCAGACTTGTTATCAGAACATGTCATCAAACTTTTGGATTTTTGTCAGTCTGATAGATGAGAAATGGTATCTCAGTGTTCTATTATTTTGCATTTTTTAAATTATGAATGCACTTGAGTAACTTTAATATTTTGAAAGGCCAATTTTACTTCCTTTTATGAGTCTTTTCTGTTCATGTCTTTGGCTTACTTTTTCTATTGAGCCGTTGATCCTTTCTATTTTCCAATATATAGAAGTACTGAATTTATCACTTCATTATTTGCTTATATTGATTCTGGATTTAAGTTATAACTAGAAAGGTTCTCTTCCTTGTCAGATTGTAGGAATCCATGCAACATTTCTACCCACGAACAAGTTTATCTACTGAAGAATCAGACATGGGAAATCACTACAAGAGCAAGTAAGAGCTCATTGTCTCTGAAATTAGAATTTATTCTGGCAAAATTTTAGAGACAAATGCCACATGAGACACCAGGACTTAATTTTTCCAGTGGAGTGTGGTGAGAATGAACAACAGTCCTTGGGGAAGAAGGTTGATTGGTGATATGTAAGATAAAGAGAGGGTAATTATTCACATTGCGTGTCACTCTTGTTAAAAACTAATTTTGTCTGCTTATAAGAATGTGAGTTTAATGAAGAGTTGGAGCTTTGTCATATGGGCAACAGATAGGATCTTAGCCTTGAGCTTAATTAATTAATGTCTGTCAAGCTCCCTATTAAAGCAGCAAGAGAGCTGCAGAAACCTGCTCTGATGTTATCAGAAATGGTCACAGATGGTGGAACCAAAGTCTTCATCACTGGCAGGAAATCATTTGGTAGAAAGTCACTATCAGTCCCTGTTGGGTCCTTCTGTGCTTCATCCCTGTCTTTCAACCTTATTATATTTAGTGTGTGCGATACATGTGATATCAGACAAATGCAGGCATGTTTGGTAACCTTGAAGCTGGCCATCACTTGTCAAGGCACAAGAAGTCCCTTGGGACAACCCATACCAAAGGCAGAAAGAAAGAGACATAAAGAACATTGCCCAGAACAACAACAAAAAAATTAACCTTGGCACTGAGGAGCATTTGAGAGAATAAGTCAATATCTGTCACTTACATCTCCCAGTCCAGCTTCCATAAGATTAATGTCTGAATTCTAGAAAAAGCAGAAGAGCTAGAACCCAGACAAGCAGTTGGACTTAAAAGTCTGTAGGACTTGGGGCAGGAGCAACACTCCCCCCAGCATGCCACTGGAAAGAGAGAAGGCATGGTCTCCCCCCCTCACCTCTCACTATTTACTAGTGTTGATCCTGAGGGTCCCATTGCTTTAGACAAAGAGGTCCCAGTGGACAAGTCACCAGGCCCAGAAGACAATGTCTGCTGCCACCAGAGCCATTTGGAAATAATTATGGGGACTTCAGGGTCTGAGCTATGTATGTGGATACAATAAGCCAGTGAAATTTGAGTCATTTCTATAACTCTAACCACTGCCCACAGTCTGGTCAGACCTAGAAATTTATTTTCAGTTTTTCATTCAACAGAAGTTTGTGTGTATTTTTTGTTTGTTTGTTTTTAAGCATGTAATGACATGTTAGTCGCTAAACCAAATCTACTTCTCTGTAACTTACGCCTGGTGGTCCTAGTTCTGCTTTGCCCACTACAACTCCCTTAAATGTTTTTGGTAAAAATTCCCTGTAGTCCTTCTTTGCAAAATGAGAGACCCACTGCAAACTGGCTTAAGAAAAAGGGGGCATGCACTGGCTCATGTAGGGAAGGGTAGGGAGCACAAGTGTCCCAAGGGTATCATCAGTTTCACCTCTCTCCACTCATCACTCAGTTCAGGATCTCTGTATTCACTTTATTCTCAGGAATGATCTCCCTTCATGATAATCCCTTCAAAATGGCTCTCAGTGGCTCAAGATTTTATGTCTCAGAGCAAATTTGATCTGAGAAGGGAGATCTTTCCTCCCAGAATCTCTACATATTTCTGAATTCTGATTGGTCCTTCTTGATCAATGCCCACCAGCAAATTTCTTAGGTAAGGTGCTCTGATTGGCCAACTGGGTCATGTGCCCACCCACACTTCCATAGGGAAGGTAGTACCATGGAACTGACGGACTGTTAGGAGCTTTGCAAACATTTTTCCTCTGTTCACACCCCTAAATACACCAGTTTGCTAGGACTCTGTCCTTTGTGAACATTGATTCTGTAGCCAAACTGCCTTGCCTTAGATCTTAGATTCACTACTTATTAGCAGTGTGACCTTGAGCAAATTACCCTCAGTCTCAATTTTCTCCTCTGTAAAACTGGTATAATAATAGGACCTACCGGGGCTTGGATCCGCGCGTGCGCAAAGAGAGTGAGCTCCAGGGTCTGCACGCGAGTCTCCACGCAGTGAGGGCGATATGGAGGCTTCGGCTTCTACCCCGCCGTCAACTTCAACCGAGACTTCAGCATCGACTCCAGAGGCCCCGGCCGGCCCGGAGCAGCTGGACGAAGAGCAGGTTAAGAAGGCAGTGGAGGCTCTGTTGGCACATTCCAGATCCAGGAAAAACGCGAAAGGATTACTTCTGAATGAGAATGAAAATTTCTTTTTAATGGTGGTATTATGGAAAATTCCAAGTAAAGAACCGAGAGTCAGATTGTAAGTTCTTGTCTTCTACTTCTGCTGGTCTTAACTGGTTGGCTGTTTTGTGGAACTTTAACAACTGTCAACTTAGGTTTTGGTGGAAACTTTGCAAAATCAAAATACCTGATTTGAAAAACCATCGGATTTAGACATGCTTAAATTTTCTAAAAATCCCATCAGTTTTCTGAATGGTTGGTGGATGGTTTGACCAAAGCCAAACTCAGTTCTGTTGAATCTGAAAACCTGGTTTTTGAGAGGACAAAGGTTAGAATAAATGAAGCAGCTTTTGTATTTTTATAGACTCTTTTATCTTTCCATGTCAAACTAGTTCCAAGCTAAAATTACTGAGGTGCCAAACTCATTTCTATATACAGAGACTATTAAAAATTTGACCATGAATTCCTTACAGAAAAGAAACCCATGAAGATTACACATTCTTATTGCTAGAACTCTTAGGTCAAAGATGCCAGACTTAGCAAATAAAAATACAGGGGAATTTTTTTGTTAGTATAAGTAGGTCCCATGCAGCATGGGGACATAATTATACTTAAAAAAATGTTTCAGGTTTAACTGGGTGTCCTATATTCTGTCTGGTAATCTGCCTCTCTGTGAAATCGTTCATTTCCAAAGCTGACTCTGTTATAGAAAGCGGGGTGTGGGATAGCTTTTCTTTCCCCCATAAGGGTGGAGGATAGGGGTTATGAATAACTGCAATTGGAGATGTTACCCCCAGATGTCCAGTGGTTAGGGCTTCACTTTCTAATGCAGGGGGGTGGAAGTTCCATCCCTGGTTGGGGAGCTGGGATCCCCCATGCCTCTTGGCCAAAAATAAAAAACAGAAACACTGTAACAAAGTCAATGAAGACATCTAAAAACAATTTTTTTTTAAAGAATGTTTACAAATTGGGAAGACCCTCTTAACCCTCAGACTCTCTTAACTCATCCCAGTGAACAGCGCTAGCCATGTTGTTTTAGTTACTGCTTTACATATCTGGCTGTGTCTTTCTTTATTCCACACTTTTGCCCTCACATTCTCCAGGTTACTTTCCCAGCTGCTCACCTCTTGGTGATTTCTGCCACTTGGCATCTCATTGTCCAAGTCCTGCTGCTGTGGCTTGCTCTCCTCTTAAACTAAGGAAATGTTTCCTCAGGACACAGACCTAGCATCCGAGCTAAGCCTTTTTTTCCCTTTTTGAGACTCAGCATAATGCATGTTTGCTGGTCCCTGTAGGTTTGCTGGGTTTTCTGTTTTAGCTCTTAAGAGTTATGATTATGGAGCCCAGAGGTTTCTGCAAGGTGGCATTCTGAACCAGAAATGCCATGCTGAAACTGGATTATTCTAGCACTTCATGGTACATATGTATATATAGCAAACATATAAAATAATGATCAGACTTCCCTAGTGGACCAGTGGTTAGGATTCCACCTTCCAATGCAGGAGGCACAGGTTTGAATCCTGGAAGGAACTAAAATGCCATGTGTGTTGTGGCCAAATAATAGTTACGTTTGTACTATTTTGAATGTCCTTGATATATTTTAACTCCTAATCGTATCCCAAATGTTAATGGTATTTCGGTCTGTGGATATTTGTGGTGATTTAGTACTTGAATCTTAACTTTTCTGTACCATTGAAAACTGTGTATGTGTGTGCTGTGCTCAGTAGCTTATTTGTTTAAAAAAAAACATGAATAAAGTTTATTGAAATGAAAAAAAAAAATAATAGGACCTACCGCCTAGTGTTTCTGAGAGGATTAGTTAAGACGATATGCATGAAATACAGTGTCCAACACATTGTAAATGCTATGTGTTAGCTGTTGTTGCTGCTGCTCTTGTTGTTGTTATTATTATATTACCATACCTCCAGGGCTGGCAGAATTTGACCAAGAACCTAAATTCCATGTATCTGAAAGTGCAGAAAGAAAAAGTGTCATGGTTCATACTATTATACAAACTTTGAATGTGTCTTTCTCAGAGAGAATACACTGGCGCCACTTTTACCAGGAGAGCCACAAGGAATTTACCACTGCTTCACAGTTAAGGATCAGTAGATAGACTATGTTCTGGTCAGAGAGTTCGGGTTTTAGACTTCAAAAAGGATCCCTTCTCATTAAGTGAAGATGAATGGCATTTTCTACATTTGCCAAAGTATAGATCAGCATTCTGAAAAGACTTGCATGCCTCTAGCCCTCATTCTGATTAGTCACAGCACTTAAAAATCCCAGCAAGACAAGCACTCTTTGTGAACTTTTACATTATAGCTCTTTCTGTTAGAGTTTGGTACAACTGTATCGGCTTTGAGAAACATAAACCCAATTAAAGCATGTCTGGCTTTTTAGAAAGCAGCAGGAGGATAAAGCCTCTGAGAGCAGCTTTCTCATTTTCTGTTCTTCACTGAACCACTTGACTTTTTGCCACCTCATTTCTAGCAGATAAATTTTGGGTCACATAGGGGGGTGGCCTATGGTGAGTTCAAAACACCCCAGCTTGAGTTGGAAAGCAAGCTAATTTGGAAACAAAACCCACACAGACCTAGACATATGCATCTACTCAAGGCCCATTTCTTCAAAGACGTGTTTTGGGAGTTAAGAGTATTAGACAGGGCATTTGAGGTGATCAGCTCCGTGTCCTTGTCCATTTCTGCTTTCTGCAATGAAACCATGAGTAGTGCTCATATTCAAAAATAGAAAATGAATGGGCTATTTTGGTAACATCCCCTATAACTAAATACCACTCAGACCTTCAGCTATCTGACCATACCACAAGTCTTCTCCCTGACTTTCCACCAAGGTGTAACAATAACTTTATAATGTTTTCTTTCTTTTTTTTTTCCTCTAGGGAGGTACATTCAACAGCAAGTATTTGTCATTTACTGAGCAGCCATTGTATGAGCAGCCTATTTAGATACTCTGTATCTTCTATTACAATCAGTAATTGACCACATGAGAAAGATGGAGGAGTCCCAACTGTCCTAGCCCCCCAATTTAAATCTTCCTGGCCTGGGTCCCAGACACATGGGCAAGTGAGCAAGCCGCCAGGTGACTCTAGGTCCCAGGTTTGCGCCACAACACCCCATGCTGAGTAGAGCAAGAGCTGAGCTGTCCCTTCCCAGGGCAGATGGAAGATTCATTCATAAAGTGAATTTGTTGTTTTCTCCTACCTGGTTTAAGAGCATTTGTTATATTGCAATAGAGAATAAGAACAATAAAGGATAAAAAAAAATACCTGCTTTTCTTATAAAGTTGTGAAGCAGAGAATGTAGATGAAACACTTTGTATGTTTTAAAAATTATGCAAATGCAAAGAGTTCTGGTAGGAAGATTCAGGTAACACACAAGCATATCTCTGAACGTGATGGATCTTCCAGCTCTGTCCCACGAGGCAGCGGGATTTCTAAATCTGCTGACCCTCACTGGAGCTCCTCAGAGGCTCTTGATACAGTGAAAAATGAAGACAGGACAAAACATTCATAAAAATCCTGGCTCATTTTCAGCATTTTGTAATTAAAGATCAGTATTTTTATTGAAAATATACTTGGGATACCCACAATATGATCAAAGGGTTTATAAGAAGGGAATTCCTAGTGCACTGGAAATAGGCACAGTCTAATGATGAGACACACTTGAGCTTGCTCTGTCATGTCTCTGTGACCCAGTGAATTCATCTGGAAATAGCATCAAAAGCCTGCATTTGAAGCCATTGTGAATGTGAATCCTGGGCAGTTAGGCCTGGTCTGTGTTGGCCCTGAGCTGGACGTGTTGGTCTGGTCCTCCCAGTTCCAATGGGCTGATGCTCTGCCCCTGGGTGGCCTTGGGACCCTCCCAGAATTTGGTGTCTTTGCAGTGGCACCTGCTATCCGCAGGCTCTGGGTTTCCTCAGGCTCCCCCACATCTGAGAGCTGTCCTCCTTTGCTGTCCAGTCTCTAAGGGGGCTAATCTCCCCCCACACACCCTTTTTCTGGTCTTTCTCCCTTCCCAGTCTCTCTCCTTTCAGGGCTCAGCGGTTCCTCTTGGAGCCACTGTTGTCTCTGCAGCGCCGTGGCGTCTCTCCTACTGTAAACTGTAACAGAACAAGCAGTGTTTGTGCACTGAATTGCAGTTTGCAGAACATTTCCACAGACATCCTTGTCTCCAAGCCTCACGTCAAACAAATCGTTATTATTCTAATGTAGCTATCTTATGATTTCAAGTTTACATGAGAGGAACAAGGCTCTTAGAGGTGAAGTGACTTATCTGAGATTAAAGGACCTGTAAGTGGCGGTGCCTGGGCCCAGGTATTTGGAAGCTGCTTCCCATCTTCCTTCCGTTCTGTCAGGCCGGGTCCCTGTGGGCAGACGGTGCGGCACCTCTTTATACACAAGGCATTATCTCGGTGACTCGTGTCATTGTTCACCAGCTGGGGTTCACTCAGTGGGCCTTCATTTTCTCTTCTGTGAAATTAATTTTATACTTACAGAATAGGACTATGTAATGGGAACCTTTGGGGAATTATTATATATTCTAAACCTCAGTTAACCTATTTGTCCTTAGTTTTCTATGTTTAAAATATAACAATACAGTAATTACTGTGGCTACAATAATAGTAAACTACAAAATTTATCGATGTTGGTACTTAACAGTTTATAAGGTACTTTAACTTGCATTTATGTACCTGATTTTCACAACTGCCCACTAAAGTTAATTAAGTAGACAGTATGCCTCGTATACTATTAGAGTTCTATACTATTAGTATAGAACAAATGACTGAACCTCTGAGAGGTTAAATGCTGAGTCCACCTTCTCTCAACAAATGAAAGTTGCTCTGTAATTTGTACTCAAGATTTTAACTTGTTCTGTACCTTTTCCAGTACCTCCAGCTTGGCAGAACACTGTAGGAGAGAATATCACTTATTCTGTGTCTAGGGCAGAGCTCCTGAAACTTTATTATGCACAGAACCACCTGGAGAGCTGTTAAAACTCAGGTTCCTGGGCCCAACCATCCTGATTCAGTAGTTCTGAGATGGGGCCTGAGCATTTAAACAGCTAACAAGCTTCCAACTTCTGTGGCTACTTCCTGTCTGTGGACAATACTTTGAACAGGACTGAGAGAGGGTTAAGTAACTCAGGCCTCAAACCCTAGTTTCATCATCCCTAAGAGGGGTAAATAGCATTACTCACCTCACAGGCTAATAATGAATGCATGTGTGGAAAAGTCTTCTTTAAACTATCAAAGGCTACCAATGTTGTTATTGTGATCCACTGCTTCTAATGTATGATGCAAAACACACTTGCAAGTTGAAAAAATTCATCCAAAATATTCTTACACAGACCTCAGTGGTGCTATTCACATGATATCCTATCCCCTGGCTCCCACAGAGTTGGGCAACATGGTGGTGTTTGCTAAATGAGAATCTCCTCCATTCAACTCATTGTAGATGGGGATCCATTCCAAATTCAATCCACACTAAGGACACCTACATGCCCAGTGATAAAGGATGTGTCAGCATAGCTGGTTTTGGTGGGGAGTGCTCACAAGGAATGGGCAGAAAGAGAGGAGAGAAAAGAACTGGGAACCCTCATCCTTACACACTGCTATTTCCTTCTCCAGGGGATCTTCCTGATCCAGGAATCAAACTCGGGTCTGCGGCTTGGCTGGTGGACTCTTTACCCAGTAAGCCACCTGGGAAGGCCCCTTTTTACAGCAGCCTGGGTTAAAACAGCCAGACTGAAGGGCAAAGGTTTTCTTCCCTTGCTCACTCTGGTACAGGCCTTACTGGAGCCCAGAGAATGGCAGCTCCAGTTAGGGAGAGGGAGGAGGAGCTGGGGCAACCACATGTTGGTTCATCAGTCTCTGAGCGAGAGATAATCAGATCCATAAGGATCCACTTATTCCCGAGCTTTGGAGTCAGACAGTGTCAGGTTTAAATCCAGGCTCTGTCACTTCTTAGCAGTGTGGATTTATGTGGGTTACTTTACCTCCTCGAATTGCAGTTTGTTTACTGTAAGAGGAGGTTAATAATATCCCAAGGCCCAGTGCGCTCAGTAAATGACAACTGTTATTATTTTTTATTAATATTCACTCAACCAGGATTTACTGTACATCTTCTATGTGCCAAACATTATGTTGGACACTGGAAATACAGAGATAAATATAACATCATGCCTGTCCTGGAGAAAACTACAGTTTTCTGGGGGTGACAGCAGTTAGCACAACACATGTCACAGGTGCTGTTCTCAGTACAGGCCCAGAGTAAGTAAGGAAGGGAAACTGACAGAGTGGTGGGAGTGTTCTCCCCTGCAACTAGCAGCTTTCTGAGTCTTAAGTTCTTCCTTTTCATGTACGCTTCATGACCCAAGGAGGCAGATTAAGATGTCCACAGTTTAAAAGACAGCCCTGAATCATTGCCCTTGATCAGTATTCCCTAAGCATCTCTGATCTGTTGCCCAACTGAGCCCTTGCTGGCCAAAATCGACATCAACTGGGGTGAATTTACACTATCCACTCAGCATGCTCTGTCTACACAAGGCATTTCATTCAGGTTTGGAAAGTTACAGGCTGACGCAGCTCTGGAGGTTTGTTTGACTTTTTTATTTTTTTTCTCAAATGTTTCGTTTCTTTCCTCTTAGGATCTGTGCCCTAGTTGTTCTGGGAAACTTGTGACCTCTCTGTGTTTTTAATTAGAAGATGTCATTTTTCCATGGCAACCTATCTTGATGTCCTAAATAGAGAATCTGTAAAATCAGTTTCTCTATGAAGGGCCAAGCAATTGGAATGGGAGGCTGCCCAAGGAGCGCCAGTACTCAGGTCCAGTGGCCCTACCACTGGGGAAGGTCCCCCAAGTAGAGAAATACCCCCAGGGACTCCTGCTCCAATAGACCTATGCCATCATGGTCCACCCAGGCCCTCTTGGTTTGAGGCTCATAAAACCCAGTTCTTGACAGTTGTGTGGGGGAATTTGCACTCTCTGACTGGCGTGGAAACAAAACCATGTCTGCTGTGAGTTATGGTGTCTCCAGGGCCAATAGCCCATAGGTAATAACACGAAAGTCAGAAAAACACTGATGGGAAGTCATTGAAACCAATCCAAGCTCCATGGTGGCCGAATTTGAACTGACCCTTTCGTAGCAGCATTTCACCTCCCGAAGGGAAGAGCGTCTTCAGGAAATGATGAAGGCAACAGAGATATTAGGCACCACAATTCTCAAGTCAACACTGAAGAGACAGTAGTTAAATCTTTTGGCAAAAAAGTGCCCCAAGTATTGTAATTCTGTTTTTTTCTTTTATTTTTTAAAAGCATCATTTCCATTCAATAAGGCAGACATGTTGATAAACAAAAGTCACCCTGACCGTGGAGATTATACTGATGCATTTGTAAATGAAATCCTAAAATGATATGAACAGTCCTTCCTCTACACACAATCTAGATGGAAGGGCACCATGAGAAATCCCATTCAGTGCACGTGCTGTTGATAACACACTAGGTGTCAGGCACCAAGAGCAAGAGCTCATGCTTGTTGGGGCTTCCCTATGGCTCAAATGGTAAAGAATCTGCCTGCAACGTGGGAGACCTGAGTTTGATTCCTGGGTTGGGAAGATCCCCTGGAGAAGGAAATGACTACCCAACCGTATTCTTGCCTAGAGAATTCCATGGACAGAGAACCTGGTGGGCTACAACCCATGGGGTCTTGTTGACTGCTGATTACTTTTAGAAACTGTTCAAGTGCTATGTATGTATTAATCAGGACTTGTAATAATAATATTAATCAGTTCAGTTCAGTCGCTCAAGCATGTCCGACTCTTTGTGACCCATGGACTGCAGCACACCAGGCTTTCCTGTCTGTCACCAACTCCTGGGGCTTACTCAAACTCATGTCCATCAAGTCGGTGATGCCATCCAACCATCTCATCCTCTGTCATCCCTTTCTCCTCCCACCTTCAATCTTTCCCAGCACCCAGGTCTTTTCTAATGAGTCGGTTCATCACATCAAGTGGCCAAATGATTAGAGCTTCGGTTTCAGCATCAGTCCTTCCGATGAAAATTCAGAACTGATTTCATTTAGGATGGACGGGTTGGATCTCCTTGCAGTCCAAAGGACTCTCCAGACTCTTCTCCAACACCACAGTTCAAAAGCATCCATTCTTCGGTGCTCACCTTTCTTTATAGTCCAACTCCCACATCCATACATGACTACTGGAAAAACCATAGGTTTGACTAGATAGACCTTTGTGGGCAAAGTAATGTCTCTGCTTTTTAATATGCTGTCTAAGTTGGTCATAGCTTTTCTTCCAAGGAGCAAGCATCTTTTAATTTCATATTAATAGTTTTCCCTTATTGACTGCTCATTTTGTGCCAAGAACTGTTATGTGTCTTCATATCTAACTACATTCATATTCACTATTCTTTTTCCAATTTTTCAAATTAGACTTTAGAAGGTTGAGTGACTTTTCCAAGGTCACAGTCTGGGTATGAAACTGAGCAATCTTGGCTCCAGTGTCTGTCTGCAATTGTAATGACTATAAATACTTCATACTGGTGTAAGGAGGTTTCTGGAATCAGGAAAGCATATTTGACAAGCTGAGGTCATTCCCACCTCAGGACCTTGCACTGGCTGTTCCCTCTGCCTGGCCTGCTGTTCCCCACATCTTTGCTCAACTGGCTCCTTCTCATCATTCAGGGTTCAGCTCTCACGTACTGAAATGCTTCTTGAAAATAATTTCCTCGACCTTTAATCTGAAGCAGTCCTCCCCACTCCAAGCCTCAATCACTCCATCCTATTTTCTTGTTTTAGGTGCTTCAGAGTGCTCTCCACTGCCTGAAATCACCGGGTTTCTTTACGTGTCGAGTCTCCCCCTGGATTAGGATGTCAGCTCTGTGACAGGCAGGACTGCCTCCCAGGCACTGCTGTATCTCTCGTATGTAGGACAGTGCCTGCTACAGAGCCAGGCCCTCAACTACTGCTGAATACATGACTGGAGAACACTGGGATTGAATTTTATCTTGAGTACCAACGATAATGACAGGACCACTGATTAAAACAGCAGCCGCAACAATTGCAATAGATAACAGTGATTAAGGGTATATTATGAATCATACACTGTGTGGAATGTTTCTCATCAGTGTGAGAAACATTGACGAGGTAGGTGTTAGTATTGCCTCCATTTTACAGACTAGGACACTGAGACTTGGAGAGGGTCTGTGAAGCTGGTGTCAAGAGGCAGAGAAACCCCCAGGAACATATTTATACCCCAAACGCATGCATGCGTGCTAAGTTGCTTCAGTCGTGTCCAACTCTTTGCCACCCTATGGACGGTAACCCAGCAAGCTCCTCTGTTCGTGGGGTTCTCCAGGCAAGAATACTGGAGTGGGTTGCTATGCCTTCCTCCAGGGGATCTTCCAGACCCAGGGATTAAACCTGCTTCTCTCTTGCATTTGCAGCATTGGCAGGCAAGTTCTTTGCCACTAGTGCCACCAGGGAAGCCCAATTATATGGTTACTTCCCTAAACACAAAAACATGAAATTATTGTCAGTGAAGCATAGGGTGCAACCAGTCAGCACACACCATGGTGAGTCTCTAAATCTCCTGGGGTATCTAGTTCCTTCTCAATTAAAGAGGGAAAGTTGAAGCTTCATAATTAAGAAGTGTCGGGGTCTAGAATTACAGTTTGGTGCAGTGGACAGAAACTGGGCAGTGGTTCTAGAATACCTGGGTTTGAATTCTGGCTTTCTTCCTGCCCAGGTGTGTAAGCTCTGGCTGTGATCTCTTGAAACCTATTTCTCCTTCTGTAAAATGGGATCATAGTACTTCCCTGCCTGCCCTGCAGATTTGCTCTGGAGCATATGTGAAGCAGGGTATGTGAAAACTGCCAGCACTGTGACTAGTACACAGTCAGCACTCAATAAATATCTTTTCCTCCTCCATTCCTTTGCTGCAACTCATTCAGTATTTATTCCCTGCAAAAAAAAAAAAAAAGCCTGTGATTTCTGGATGTTTGAATTTCATGTCCTCAAATTAAGCCAAATACTCTACAGGTCACGATCAGATGGCTCTCTCTGACCTCATTAGAGAAAAAAATGGCTGGAAAGTAAGAGGCAGAAACAGAAGGAAAGAAAGAAGAAGGGGAGAAGAAGAAGAAGGAAAAAGGTTTTCAAGGAAGAAGATAGAAACTCTTTCTGACAGAGGAAAAATGTGTGGGAAGAGAGGATATTGTGAGAATCACATAGCAAGAAGCGCCTTGCTGGAGAAAAAAATATTGGTGGGTGTCAACAAGACACTGAGGATGCTGTTTCCTTTGTTTCGTTTAGAGAAAGGTGCTCCTGGGAGTGAGTCTCCTTTGCTAAGGGCGCCCAGAGCCTGCAAGCGTATTGTCCCCTCCCCAAGCCTGGGAGTGGACGTATCCTTCAGAGGGGACGTGGGTCCAGGAGTCCAGTGGGGCTGCTCAGCAGACTCACCTGGCAGGTGAGCCCTGAACCCGCGCGCAAGCACAAATGGGCCAGGATCCGGCCCAGAGCTCCCTGCAGGGCCTCAGCCATGCTCAGCTGCTTTTCAGCTTCTAAAACACCTCCCAGCCCTATTTTAGGAGACTTTGTTGGGTCGTGAAAGTGTGAAGCGAATAGATAACATTAGAGGTCGATGGGCTAATCAGTTCTCTTACTTATTTCACAGGATGGCTGTGATAGATGTTTAGATGGATATTTAACTTCTTTTAAAGTAGATTTTTTTTCTACAGGGAGAGAGATTTGGATAAAACAAGGAAATGGCAACCCACTCTAGTATTCTGGCCCAGAGAATCCCATGGACAGAGGAGCCTGGCAGGCTAAAGTCAGTGGGGTCACAAGAGTCGGACACGATTTAATGACTAAACCACCACCACCAAGCTTCCCATCTGCCTGCGATGCAGGAGATCCCGGTTGGATTCCTGGGTGGGGAAGATCCACCGGAGAAGGGATAGGCTACCCACTCTAGTATTCTTGGGCTTCCTTGTGGCTCTGCTGGTGAAGAATCTGCCCACAATGCTGGAGACCTGGGTTTGATCCCTGGGTTGGGAAGATCCCCTGGAGAAGGGAAAGGGTACCCCCTCCAGTATTCTGGCCTGGAGAATTCTATGGACTGTATAGTCCATGGGGTTGCAGAGAGTTGTATACAACTGAGCAACTTTCATTTTCTTTTTTCAAGCCTTTTTCAAGACCACTGTGAGGCAGTGGTACCTGGTCCCTTCAGACACAGAGTATTGGGAACTGCTGAACTTCCACCCACACAGGCCATCAGAGAGTAAGGTAGCCCTGGAGGTACAGTGGGGTGACCTCATGGGCCCTCCAGGGGCTCAAAGAGGTGGAGGTCTGCAGCAGTAAGATGCAAGATGCTGATGCCCCTGGTCCTCTCGGCATTTCAGCAAGATCCCACCTCAGGTCATGGGTATGCACATTCAGTTAGGGAAGCACTGAGCTAACATTCTCGCCTCCCTCAAGCAATCCCTGAAATTCCAAGCAGAGAAGTTCTCAGGTGGAAGCAGCCCATCCACAGAGTAACTCTCCACGTCTCACCATCACCATTCACACTTTTTTCATTATGGAAAATAAATCTAGTTCTCAGGCTGAACTTCAAAAAAAGGCTCTTTCTTTTCACATGCTATGGACTTTCTCATGATTTCCCAATAGATG